CAATATTTTTTGTTTTTCATGACGATCAGTTGTCGACTGGCCTTCAAATAAATTGTTCTTGATGTCATCCCACTGCGGATTACATGTAAATGTAATGAACAGATCCGGTCGACCGTATTTTCGTACATAAGACATTGCGTCTTGTGCATATTCGTTCATATGCCGTGGGCTACCAATATACGAAGATGGCAATATAGTTAAACGTCCGATGTCATTAACATTAGCATCATTCGCTATCGCATCTTGCAAATGAATATATTCTTCGGATCTTAATTTTGCTTGGTTGAAACGAATAAAATTAAGACGTTCAGTCTCTATTTTGGCATACATATCAACGATGTACTGATGATATAGTTTACCACATTTTAAGATATAATTTTGTTCTTGTGGACGAATCATCAATCGATACGAATAAAAATTCATGGCACTAACTTTTTTCTGTATATGTAGACCTGAAAATAATTACAAAATGTGACTTTAGAAAGTTGTAGAAATGAAATGTCAACACACTAAAAATAGGTCAATTATTTACCTGTTCGTGGATCAATCATTGGTATATTGATATGGTAACCATCGTCACCTTTCCAATGCAATATTGGGTACTGTAATGCATCGTAACTACGATGAAGTTCCGAAACACGTTGCAATTGCTCATTTCTACGATGAAGTACAATATCACGGGATTGAAACTGATCACCAAGAATTACAATTGCAACCTCATCAATTGTTGGTGCATTAAATCGCCTTGCATGCTCTCCAAAAGGTGTTCTATCAGCTCTTATTACGATTTTGTGATTATCAGTTGGCATACGATCGAGAGCAATTTTAAACAATTGAACTAATGCGTTATGCTGATGGAAAAACCTTTGTAGCTCACGAATAATTTCTCGTCTTGTATTCGAAACAATTGCACAACGTTGATCCAATTCACGATTTTCATCACCAATAAAATAAATTTGCAAAAATTGATGATCAGCGTCGGGGTATGGCAATAACGAACCAGCTTGATGATAAATCTGGCCCTGAATCTGTAACATGTATACAATTTTAGGTAAATCTTATATCAGTTTTTTTTTAAATATACTTTATGCTTCAGATTGATACAAACATGGAATAATCCTGTTGAAGTATTTACCTTAAACGTCGGCATAAAATTATCTCTAATAATTTTAGTTGCACCAAAAGAAGTCATTTGAAATGCCGAATTGTATTGTTGAATATGACTCAGAAAGTGCTTCGACGCTTGCGATGTCCCAAAAATAAATGAATACAATGGTTCGGGTGGAGTTTCTAATGCTGGCAATCTCACTTTGCCATTAGCACAACACATGCCGGGCGTTTCACCTGGAAAGTTAGCCGCATCACAATGTGGACATATTGCGTCCATCATTCCAATGTATCCATACATACTATAATCAATCTGACTGTTGTAATTAAAAGCAGCACGCATCATTTCAGCCAAAACAGCACGACGTATTCGTGATGGCCGTGCAAGATTCAGTACAGGTACTGGGTTAACAAATCCATTGCGTGCATTACGTTCACGCTGCGATGCATTAGCTTGTGCGCGTTCATCTGCAGTCTGTGATCGTCTTAGTAATGCCACATCATTTGCATTACGCGTTCGCCGACCTATATTTGCTCGTCTGGCTGGTGGCATTTTTCCCGTATGCACATTGTTTTCGCTTAAAAATCGAAAAAAAAAAATTAGAACAAAAAAAAAACAAATTCCCAAGAAGCTGTCGCATATGATGCTATGTGAAATCATATACGGCAACTTAGAAAAGTACACATAAATTCAGGACTCACCGTTTGTATGAATGCACTGCAAATGCAATTATGTGAAAAGAAATTTATCGCTGATAATATGCTTTAATCAAACCACGTCCAAAATGAACTGACGGCATGAATGACATAACAACGTGCTTGTCCTGTCAACAAAACTTCAAAAAAGTTTCTGTGAAAAAAGTTTCTATTGAATTCATTTATTACAAAAAATGTGACAAATGAGGAACCGCTCGACCGATTTTGTGCAAACTTCACATAAACCATCTACTAAATATGCCGACCAAATCCTAAGCATTTGGTTTGGATAGGTGAGCCCGTTCTTGAGTTATGGAATTACAACGAAAAGTGGCATTGATTTTTATATATATAGATTAACCGATTTCAAAAAAGAGGGGGTTGAATTAGGTTGTTAAACGTGTTTATAAAAGAATTATTGTATTACTTGATAAAACACTCGCTCTAAATAAAAAAAATAAAACGTTTGTACCTGACCCAATTTAAAATGGGCTCTAAAGCCCATTTTAACAGGCAGCTATTCACACAACCACCTTCCTGAGTAAAGTCTTGGGGAACACTATCTATGTAGACAGGGAACGCGACGCGACTTTCACGAGTCGAGATGTAAACATACACATAATATAATAATAATAATATAACTTTTATTTCAGACCAGGTCCATAGAGTTAGTAACAAATGACTTAAACTAGTGTTAGTAGAAACAAACATATTACTACAAAACTAAAACACAATTAAAGTACGGCGTGAAGTTTTATCCACCTTTACATCATCGGAGAATCCCACCGATGTGCGAATACACTGAGACTACTGTTGGTACCGCCGCGTACACGTGTCATCAGAGAAGCATATCTCTTTCTAATTATGGCGAACTATCAATACCTGCGTCCGCAAACATAACTACACTGCATGCACTGCAGTGCCACGACAGCCCCAACAGCATTCTCAATGCATTATTGTATTGGACACGCAGATCGCCGTTTGCCCGCCGAGTGAAACCGACCCACAGGCCGCACGGGTAGAAGGACTAACAATAAGCTTTGAAAAGCGTTATTTTAACAGGCCACGTACACCCGCACACCTGCGGGCCAGCATTATACAACGAACAGCTAGCGACTTACGTTCCCTCTTAATGTCACAATTGTCTTTGAGATCCTCGGTGACCCAGTGGTCTAGGTAGGTATTTAAATTTGTCAACTCTTCGCAGAGATTCTCCACACAGTGTGACGTTTGGAATATTAGAATATGTCCCATTGCCCGCCTTGGAAACTAATTGTATTGTATCTATATGTGTAGAATTAAATATGTACTGCAGGCGTTAGGGAAACATTATTAACAACTAGCTGACCCGCCCAACTTCGTACCGCCTACATTTTTTTCTCACCCTTTAAACCTTCCCCGGACCCACATTCCGAATTGAATTCCACATTTCAACAAAATTAGCCAAATGTGTTCAGCCGTTGTCCAGTTTTAGCGAGATATTACATTTATATATACATACATCATTTTAACGAATATTATTGATATAATTATATTATATATTTACACAAATGAACCTTACAGACAGTGTCCCAGCACTTGATACTTGATAATAATATATTACAATATGTACAGCGTGAGTGCTCACGCGCGGACGTCAGTGCGGAGCGCGCGCGTCGCTGCGGACCTGCAACACACACGTGGCGTGGTGACTCGGGACCAGACTACAGCTGCTGCGGCGGTGTAACGAGTGATTATGTACTCAGTTGTATAGCAACCAACCTATCCACGGGAGCGGGGCCGACAAGCTCGCGAAATTCTTTTCAATTATGTACCGATAGTCCGATACATTTCGCTTTATTTTGGTTTTACCGACAGTCAAAGTCAGAATAGAGCTTTATTAAGGCAAATACGAGAAATAGAATTCCGCAAGCCTTCATTAGGAATGGGCGGGAATCACTAATGACCTACGAGGATCTAGGCACGGAGACGCGGGCGAGGGCAAGGCGCGACACATGCAGCATGCACTGCACGCACTGCACGCGCAGGCGCACTAGCCGCTAGGGGTGCGACTGCGTACTGGGCGCGGCGCGCAAGCGTACTTACAAGCCATGCGAGAGTAAGAGCGGGGTCTCTGTACGTATTACCGAGTGTATCGGTCCTGTATAACGTCTTCTTCTTAGAAGCGGTGGCTTTGTTGGAAAGAGAAAACACTAGTTACTGTTGTGGTACACAAAATATACAAAAGTCCCGCTGTGTGTTTATTAGGTACTTTGTATGGATTCTCTGATATTTAAGTTTGTTTCGGTGTTTCTTTTCAAAGTAGTCAGAAAGCAAATACCGGCGTCATTTACGTAGCTTAACTTTTAAGTATTGGCATGTACCTTAAAGTGCAATTTAAATTTAACAATTTGTTAATGTTAAATATGAAAGTATAGTGAATGATTATAAAGTGGAATAAATGTTCACCTGAGCGAGGGCTGACAGGGCGCGCGGCGTCGACGTCGCTCACGAGGTGCCGCAGTGTCGCGCGGCCCGTACACCGTGTCTTCCGCACTCGACTCAGGCGCCGGCGCCGGCAGTGTCTCTGCACAAGCACTTAACGTCATGTCACAGGTAGCAGGGTGATACATGCAGGTACATACTGCGGCACTCACCGGAGAGGTGCGCGGCGGGCAGTCGGTACAGCTCGGCGGCGCACGCAGCGCACGGCGAGCCGCTCGACTCCGAGTCGCTGTCATGTGACCGTCCATACTCTGTCGTACAAACATTACTTGCAATGTGTAATTTAGCGTCAACATTATGAATGGTACCTACACGAACTCGAAGCGAATTGTGTAGGAGGTACGCGGACCTATTTCAATAGCTGTTTCCACTGAATTGCTACGAACATGACGAATAGGCAAGTCTTGAAATACCCACATTATGAACGAACACACGACACTCTGTCATGAACACGGTTCACATATGAAGGAAATAAAATAAAAATTGGGAAGTTTACGCACGTTGGGGGTACAATTATCGGCGTTTAATTGTTACGGCACATACAGCGCCAGCGACGCCCCTGTATACATGTGTGAGCGCGAGGATAGATGTACCTGCAGCGTGCGCCAAAAGGTTGGGGCGAGGCGGGGGCGCGGCCAGGTCCAGCGCCTCGGCGCGGCCGAACGTGCGCAGGTGCAGCGCGCAGCCCGTGAGACCCGCGCCCGCGCCCCGCGCTACCCCCGCGCCTCTCGTGCCTCCTCGCAGCCTGAGCCACCCGACATGCTGAATGTAGCGTACGGGCTAATCTCATGCATCTCGCTCCTCACTGTACAGCCATACTCCGGCGTTAGTTTTACAAGAATTTACATGGAACAATCGGGTAGGTAGACATTTTTAGTTACTGCCAATATTTTATTTGTGACGTCTTTACAGGCTAATCTATCATTGCACAAACCTACAGCATTATTAATTACTAGCATCCAAAGTACGCGTTAATTTGGGCGAAGCACATCGAAGTGAAAACCCATTCAAATGCACCCATATTTTATTTATTTAGTCTTTAATGTACACAATTTGTTACACAGTGGTATAAAAGGTAAATTTAGTACCGTATGGCATTCTCTACCAGTCAATTTTAGGGTTTACGTAGAAAATCTACGAAATGTGGGGTACGGAGAACAAACTAACAGCAAAGAGAAAAAATATGATAAGTATATAAATAATATAGTATAATATAGTATGCACAAAATATATAGGTATAAATACTTACATAAATATCGACATCGAATATCGACAAAGACTAGAACTACCGTTGCAGCAATTTTAAATAAAATTGTTAGAACATCGTAGTCAACTGTGTTAAAAGCATTGGAGAAGTTGATTAAAACCAACACTGTTTACCTCGAACCCTCCATACCATGCCTTACATGCTCTGTGACCTTCAGCAGGGCAGTGGATGTGCTAGGGCCAGGCCGACAACTGATTGGAAGGGAGATAGCAGTTTATGTTTAAAGAGGTAAGAGGACGTTTGTTTATGAACAATTGCTTCGAGGATCTTAAACAGGTAAGGAAGGATAGAAATGGGTCTGTAATGTTTGGGCTGACAAGGATTGGAGGTTTTAGGATGTGGAATTATATATATTCTTTTTGCCACAATGACGGAAATACACCGTAAAATACAGCAAAATGAATTACGTGAGTGAAATGAAGAAGGAAGTGCTCGTATATTAAAGAGACCATAGTTCGACCCATCAGAGCCCACGGCCACCGGTCTGAGTTTAATTGATGCAAAAGCTCTTTGTATCACGAATTCAGTCACGGGACTAAATGAAAAGGTGTTAGGAAGTAATATAGACCTGGAAGTTAGCTCAGTTTTGTGTTTGACTACGTCTATGACACCCGTATCTGCAGCGAAATGCTAGTTGTGACTATTGAGGGACAAATTCGTCGATAAAACACATGTCGAAGTCTCACAAACACTCAGAGATTTTAAGGACTTTCATACATCAGCCTGTGAAGAGTTTTGAACATTATCAAAACTGTATCGGCGTTTGGCCGCTCAACTATCTGGTTACACCGATTCCTCGCTATCTTATACTGATTCCAGTTTTCTTGGTACGATCGAGTACGATCGACTAAGATCTCTCCTATACCTACAAAACGCTTTGTTGCGGTGCTTCATAGCCGACCGGGGTTAAGCCGGAGGACGTCGGAGACGGACTGCCTTCAGAGGTGCGTGAGAATCCACAAGTCCCAAGACAGTGTTATTGAAGCCGATTGATATAAGTTTGTCCAGTCAATAGATTGTGCTTCGCTGGCAAGTTTAGCCTTGTCTGACATATTCGTTCGCGTTCAAAAATAGTTTTATTATGTCAATAACTAAATATTCGCTTTGATGCAACACTCAATTTCGATAGCGTTTTATAAAAGAAGTAGGTATGTATTTAAGCAGTCTTACCATCGGGTGGAGTAATAGCTTTCCCATTTCGTTTGCTCGGTTCCGTGGTGTAGAGCTGGGGGTGCGGCTGGCACAACTGATGCAGCGAGCGCTCGCGACGCAGGCACGAGGCCGCGCGCCGTCGCCGAGCTACCACTACCGCTGCACATACAAACAACAACAATTCGATGACCAGCTCCGGCGGCAGCAGCGACGCCTAGGAGTCAGACACAGTGGCGGTACCGGTGAGAGCGAGCAGCAGCGCGGCCAGCGCGCCCGCCAGCAGCGCGGGCAGCAGCCCCGAGCGCCACAGCGCGCCCCCCACCCCCGCGCCCCCGCTGGCCGCACCCCCGCTCACCACGCTGCGTTTCTCCGCTGGAATCTCGGAGGGCTCGCCTAAACGCTCTGTAACCATGACCATGATCAAAATGACCCTTTTGAATTTCTGTTTCTGTCAATTCTTTAATTTGTACAAACTACAAGTAGTTATCTTCAAAAATGTAATAGGTATGTACATACAAACAGACTTCCTACGCAGGAGAGCCGGACTCGAACTCTATTGGGCCTTGGGCTGGTACAACAGGAGTGATACCACGGCTCTACTCGCAACTAGTCTAATAGGTATTAATTAAAAACCCAAATACTAAAAACAAACAAAAGGTTAAAGATAAAAGCAGAAAATTACTATTCTTTAGCCATACGTAGTGATAAATTAGCCACCCCCTGTCGACGCCACACATCACAGGTTTTAAACAAAATATTATGAATTACAAACTTAATATTAAGCTGAGTACAGTGAGTGAGTTCTAGATTATTTATTCAGTGTTATTGTGTATTTCTCCTTTATTTTTATATAGGTATACTGAACTAAAAGACTAAAGAAGAAAGCAATTTAATCAAGACATGAGTTTTCGATAATAACTGAGAACCTCCATTAACAGAATGCGTGGCAGCTCTGTAAAACGCAATGGTGTCCCCAGCAGAAGATCGCGCCTCCACTCGCAGCTCGTACCAGGCGCCCGGCTGCAGGCCGCCGGCCTGCGCAGCACAAGCACGTCACACTCCGATACCTCCGGACGCATGTCATTACAATGTGGACGGGTGCGGTGGCACGTACCTCGCCAGTTTCTCCGTCTGTGAATATATTCTGCCAGGCGCCGCCAGCAGCGTGGCGCAGGGTCAGGTCCCAGGCGGCCACGGGGCAGCGCCCACCCCAGGCGAGCAAGTTCAGCCGCAGCGATGTACTGTTCGCCCAAATGAACTCCTTACCTTGCGGTGCTTTAGCTTCTGCGGATGATAAGAACGTGTAAAAAGCACTAGGTCATTATTTACAGTTGTATCACGCCTCATACTGGAATAAGAGGAAAAGATGAATTACTATAATATGCTGACATCTTACTGATTGTTCTTTTTTTCTGTCTCTTTTGACCGAGTGGTTACAAGCGCGACTACATAGTATGAGCAAATGAGTCGCGAATCTTCTCGTGATTGCTTAAAATTCTATCCAATACTTATCGATGAGGTCGATTTTGCTGGAGTCTTGCGGCTCGGTCCGTCCTTTTTGAAATTGGGCACAATTTGGTTCATGGCTTGCATGATCTGATACTGAGTTTCAATCGTTCCATGTTGAAAGGTGAATACTTCGAGTTCCTGAAGTTGCCTTTGACTGCTGTTGCTGCTGTGTTTCAGTTACCTCTTGTATTTGTTGCCGGTGTATGATGATCTCAGGATCAAAAGGTATTTCTACTACGATATGTGCGCCTTCTCAATCTGACTGGGGCGATCTGCTTGTTTCCACAATCGGATCGCCGGTCTTCCGACCAGCCAAACCAATTCGCTATCGTAAATAGAAGCACTTAGTTCCTGAGGTGGCTCGGAGGACCAAAAAGATGTATGCGCTGCTGAGTGTGGCGCACACAACTTGAGATTTAGATAGGAAGAAATCACTGATAGTCGAAGAAATACTTCGCCACCAAATAACTAATGTTATCTAGGTTGATATGGTGAGTATTAATGTATATGAGTGCTGAACGTGTACTGGCGCTTTATACAGTGATTTGAGTAAAGCGATGTAAAAGTGCTGATGTGAATGTGCGCGTGCTCTGTACGATACATGACTCGTACAATTGATTTTATGCTGAAGCCAAAAAGTATAATTAGTATGCAAAAAGCGCCAGTGTTAACTTTCTCTCATACTTATTATAACCGTCAGCTTGCTCTTTTTTTATGGCATAAGTCGGTAAACGAGCAGACGGGTCACCTGATGGTAAGCAATCGGCGTCGCCCATGGACACCTGGAACACCAGAGGCGTTGCAAGTGCGTTACCGGCTTCCTAGGGATTAGGAGCTTGAGGATCGTTGGGGATTCAGGGATTCCCTCACTATTCCATGCAACGCGTTTAATTTTGAACATTGTGTCAATTGGTCTATTAAATATTTTAAATAAACGGACAACTCTTAGTAGACAAGTAGCTGTTACCCGTGTATACGGTTGACGTGGAAGTTTTTTGGTAATTAAAGGGATATCTACATTATTTCACAAAAATGTCACAACTATAAACAACGCATTATTAAGGTTATATTTACACTTCGTAGACAATGTCATATTATAATCAGTCGAAAAAAATGTTTTTTTCAAAATCTACTCTCCTGTAAAAACAGTGTTTGTAGACGTACGTGTCTACTTTGCTGTCATCGATATTGGCACTGAAGTTAAGGCACCACGTCGTGTGTCTCGGAATGCTACTTATGTATATGAGTCTCTGGCGTGGCGAAATTAATCGAGTACCTCGTCAAATCGTTACGTAAGCCGAAAAATAATAATATAATATGAACACGTGTGAACGAATGGCGTGCTGGAATAGTGCGGAATAGTATTGGGTTGCAAAATATTGTACCGAACAGCATTAACTAAAAATTATTTTGCTGTCTAACTTACTTGCTACAATATGTATTGAATTTCTTCCTGTACTTTTTACTGTTGATTACGAGTTCATTTCGAGATATAACTCACTAGAAGTAAGGAGAGCAAGAAACCAACTTGTAGTAGCCTGTAAAACCCTCCGTGGCGCTATTGACGCTCCAGACATACTGGAGTCACTATCACGTATTTACATTCCAGACAATTACTGCCGGGGTAAAAAGCACAGACTGTTTGCCGTACCCTCATGTCGTACCGTAGCACGTGCTAAAGCACCGATTCCTCGCACTCTGGCCGCGCTCAAAGGTCTCTTGGATTCCAATCCAAATAGTGATCTGTTTGCGAACGGATGGAAGGAGATTTTATCGGAATGCCTGAAGTACTGCGAGAGGAACTTATGAATGCTACCATTTTATTAAGTAAGTTTTACTCTTCTGGTTCGTTGTATATGTTTTGTTCTAGTTTTATTGTTTGATCGTTTATTTTATTAATGTGTCCAGTTACTTTAATTGGTTTTTGTTTTCAACCGTTGTGACTGTAAATAAATAAATTTCTCGCTTGTTAATTGATTTTAATTTAAAGTGTTTAGAATGTCGTCGATTTATGTACAGAAGGCAATTTATAGAAAGTGATTACGTATTATAGTGTTCGGTAACTCACTTTCGCCCCTGGTGCGCGCGACGAGCGGCGCGGAGTGCGGCGACGCGCCGAGCGCGTTGTGTGCCTGCAGCGTGACGCGGTAGGGCGCGCCGCACGCCAGCCGCGCCAGCCGCAGCGACGTGTCCGCGGCCGGCACGCGCCGCGCCCGCGCTGCGCCCGCGCTCTCGCCGCGCGTCCACCACACGGTGTACCCTGCGTGTCGGTTCACAGTTGGCGTAATATTATCTGAGATTTCCGTAACGTGGGGCGGCCGTCCGTTGTGATCAATGTAGTTACCCAGTATATGTGCCCCACCGTCGTTTGGTTTATCCCAGCTGAGCTGAAGCGCGTGCGCCGCAGTACTGAGCAGGCGGGGTGCGGGCGGGGCGGGCGGGGCGCGGACGTGCAACGCTATACTCAGTGTGTCGGAGCCCAGCCCATTGCGGACTGTGCACGTGTAGTTGCCCACTAGCGACACATCTGCCTCTGAATGCAAGCCTGGTTTCAGTTTATAGGTACGCAAGACAGTTTATCAAAGCATAAGGAATCAAACGAATGTCCTCACTATGAATGATGAGATCGCCATCATCAGAGATAGTTGAATGGCTCGGTAACGGCGCCCAGCGCCAGCGCAGCGGTGGCGCGCCCAGGGCGGTACAGTGCAGGCGCACGCGCGATCCCCACGCCGCGGACACCACGCGACTGAACGACGATATCCTGGCTGATACTGCCGGTTTAATAGTCGATAAAATCATTATAAAATCATGATTTTGAGCTATATGATAAAAATATCAAAATTATACATGGCTTTTGAAAACATATTATTAGTAATGAGCAACATAACTAGTGGTCGTAGGTCTAACTAGGATGTGACGTACACGTGGGAGCCGGCGCGGCGGTGACGGGGCGGCTGGGCGGGCCGACGCCGGCAGTGTTGGCGGCGCGCACCCAGAACTCGTACACAGTGCTCTCGCGCAGGCCGCGTACCTCGCGCCACACCTCCTCCGGCCCGGGCTGAGTCTCGCCTTCCTCCACCGCTACATCGACACGCTGTGCCCACTCTCCACCCACTCTTTAATAAATAATTAGAACTCGAATACATGTAAATAGGTATGATGCGGCTACCGAAGTTGCTTACTTACTTGGCGTGTTCCCTGGTGTAGAGCGTGTAGTGCGTGAGCCGGCCAGCCCCGGCGGGCGCCAGCCAGGTCACGCGCACTGCGCCGGCACCCGCCGCCAGCGCCCGCACTTGTTCTATGGCCTCAGGAACTGCTGCCATATACATTATCATGTCGTAATCCGATGTTATGATCTAAGCATCCACTAAGAACGGATTTTGATTTATTTCACCCCCAAGGGGGTATAATAGTGGATGAAAGTCTGTATGAAACCTTGATAGTATTGGCATATAGGTAGATGTGAAGACGTAAGCATCCTCTAAGAAACGATAAAATAGGGATGAGAGTTCCTTCTAAGCCATTGAATCTAGAATCATTTAACCTTTTTGACTTAAATTCGGTATAACGATGCTTTGAGACCGGGGACACGATGTATGTGTTATTATCACTGAAGTCCCACGCGGGAACGGGAAGTATGCGTTAAAGCCCAGGGACTATCTATCTCTTACCCACTGAACTTATTTTAGAGAGATTCGTTATAACAATGGCCGATAGAATAGTTTTTATCACTAAAACCTTACGGCGACACAGCTAGTGTAAAATAAAGAGCATATTCGGATAATGTGGTAATGAAATGGAATAGTGGCTGACCATCGTCGCGCGTGGTGCAGTAGACGGGCGCGGCGGGCGGGCCGGCGCCGGCGTCGCAGCGCGCGCGCACCCACACGGAGTAGTTGGTGGCGGCGCGCAGCCCCTGCAGGGTGGCCGCGCCGCCCGGGCCCGCGCGCGCCGCGCCGCCCGCTGACATTCATGCTCATTATAACCTTTCTGTATTTCGTACATAATTCTCGACTTGCTTTTCAATTTCTGTCTTCAAGTGTTATCATAATTTTATTGATATGATAGTATATATTTTTATTGATGACACACTCCAGAGGCCAGCGCGTTCACAATACATACATAATGAATACTTTTTTGTTAGTAGGTAGTAATAATAATACTTAATATGTGTACTTACGTATGTATTTATATGTATACTCCATAATTACGATATTCTTTTTGTGCTCATAATTAAAAAAATATCTTACACTTATGTATACTACTTATACATAAGATGGTAAATCAAAACTTGCTCCGTTTTATGGCCTGAATTATTTGTAAGCAGATGCGTTTATTCGTAATGATCATTAGACGTATAGCGACACGTAGCGTACAGACCGGAGGCTGCGTGCAGCGGTGCGTAGTGCAGGTCGTACCCGCGCAGTGCGTGCGCATGCGCGGCGGGCAGCGGCGCCCAGCGCACGCGCAGCGACGTCGCCGACAGCGCCTCGCACGCCACGCCGCGCGGCCACTCCTCCGGCACTACACACGCAGCTGTTACTCTATTGTTTGTGGACTCATGTACCGTCTAGCGCAGCGGCCCGTACGGCATGCGGCGGGTGCCATAGCAATTGTGTCACGGTCGTACAAATTAAATTAGAAAAGCGGCCAACCATGTTCTGATTCTTTGTTTGTGTTGTGTGCTTTTCAATCTTCGAAAGACATACAAGAAAAGAGTCCTATGAGCCGAGTTAATAGTGTCATGTCGTATCTTATTACATAAAGAGTTGTGCAAGCGAAAATCGAATCCGCGACATGTTGCACAATAGCCGGTGGCCAAGTCTCCACATTTAATTCAATGCTTTTAAGACACGTTGAGACGACTCTGCAATGGTGCAAGCAGTATTATAATAACCAATATTGTTAGTCCGTATTGAACGTAGTAAAAGAGAATTGAAAACATCCCAAGTAAAAGAAATTCTGTAATTTAAATTTATCCTATGTTTGTATAGTTGGTAGCTTCAAGTTTGCCCCGTTGTATTTGCTAAGTAGATTTATGGTAAATCTGTGGCAACGTCGTGAGGAGTGTATTTGTTAAATCTATTAGTTTAGTCACTCGTATTATATTTAATATAGGTACTGATGTTTGTTGTCCTTGATAAATAAATAGCTGAAAGACAGAAGGCAAGGAATAAAACAATGAGTGAGTCACCTCCATCGACGGTAGTAGCGTAAACAGCAGGTGAGTGCGGGCCGGGGCCCGCGCGGTTGTAGGCGCGCGCGGTCAGCGCGTAGCGGGCGAACGAGCGCAGCCCCGCCACCGTCAGCTCCGCGCTACTCCAGCCGCGCACTGTTGCGGTGCCTGCGGCCCCCGCGCCTTCGTCCTCACCAACTTCACCGTCAACGCCGAGCTCGCGCCACGAGACTACATACCCCAGAAGCTCACCGTTCCAGCTGTCCTGCGGCGGTGCCTGCTTGAATGAATACTAAAGGAGTGAGTAGTCAGCCATTAAAAGAAGAACATTTACTTCATTCGGTTTGACAAAAGGAGTAGTAAAGGTCAGATAGTTCTGTCAAGTTGTTACCGTTGCAACTAATGAGACATACGTACCGACCACGAGACGTGCAGCTCACCCGGGGTGGACGCTCTCACTCTGACGCTCTGCGGGGAGCCAGTCGGGGCTGGAAAGACATGCGGAAAAAGTTGTATGTATGTATGTAAAGAAAAAGGTTTTCTTAATTTTTGAATTGATTACTATTGTCAAAAATGAAAAAAAAAATCAAATACAATTTTATAGATAGATACAGGACACAGGAAGACAGAGTCAAATCTATTTCATATAGTAAGCTAGGCCCTGAGTAGATGTAAAGAAAAAGGTTTTCTTAATTTTTGAATTGATTTAGGGAACAGAGAGTAAAGTTCCCTAAGATCGGAAAAGGAGGATCCTCCGACCAGGCGAGGTGATCGTGCCTGGCGGGCTTTCTGCCCAACAGTTGTTCGTTGGGATTTTCTATCCGTGTTTATTCGCTGGTAAACTTTGCATGTGCGATGTAGGATTCTTGTGACGTCATCCGTTGACATGTGGCATGTGTCGCCACATCACTCCCTCCCAAGACCGGAGGTCGATCCCGCTGAGACGGCTGTCGATGCTTGAGATGAGCGGTGCCAGAGCCAGTGTAGAACGTCCCTAGTTCCAGTGGGTCGGAACCGTGCCGCTGAGTGCCCAGTGAGTCGGGTCAGCGGTGCAGGGTGAAACTTCCAGTGAGTCGGAGAGATGCGTTCGCAGTGTCCCACGGTGAGTCGGGGAAGAGATGCTGCGAGGGTAGGTGCGTAGTGGCCGGCATCTGCGTTGACGGGAGGAGGTGTCCTTCAGACCGTGTGCAGAAGTGCTGTGCCTAGACGCTGGTGAGGCCGTAGGGAAGAACCAGGCTGCACAACTTCGTTGCAGGCGATGGTGGTCCCTGATGAGGCCGAGGATGCTGGTTGGCTGCGACTTGATTACCGCTCAGCGGAGAAGTGATGAATGAGAGGGATGGCGATACGGATGACGGTGCTGATCTGCTCCGTGAAGTGAAGGTTGTTTTCCAATCACGTCGGGGTCACCACTTTAGGGAACAGAGAGTAAAGTTCCCTAAGATCGGAAAAGGAGGATCCTCCGACCAGGCGAGGTGATCGTGCCTGGCGGGCTTTCTGCCCAACAGTTGTTCGTTGGGATTTTCTATCCGTGTTTATTCGCTGGTAAACTTTGCATGTGCGATGTAGGATTCTTGTGACGTCATCCGTTGACATGTGGCATGTGTCGCCACATTGATTACTATTGTCAAATAGTCTTTGGTTATTTTAAACGTCAATCAATAATGTAATAATTTTGTGTTAAAGAATTTATGGAAGAATAATACATTAAATGTCGTTTCAAAGCAACACATTTAGTTTTATTTAATTCTAAATCATAAGATTTAGTCTTATATGTATATTAAAATAATTATAATATATATCGTCTTCTGTTGCATAGTGATAAGTATTTGTGTTTATAGAAACAACATGTCCTACTGTAAGAATTATAATTATTTAGAGCTCCTCTCGTCTATGATACAGGATTGTCCTAGTGTAGGCATCTAACTATGTGAGATTAATTTGTATTTTGCATTTTTATTATAATTTGTTTTGTTTAGATTTTGTTTTATACCACGACGGTGGCAAGAAAAGTAGGTACACGGCCCACCTGATGGTAAGCGGTTACCGTTGTCTATGTACGCTTGCAACACATGGGGCCTTGTTGAGTTGCTGACGCTTTATAAACCTGTTTTCTTGAAGAACCTCATACCGGTGGGCTACACCGGGAATACCTTGGCAGTAAGTTCATTCCACAATCAGAGGGCCCGTGGGAGGAAATTCCTCTGAAACTGAACTGTACGGGACCATATGGGCTCCAATATGTGAGCGTGAACTCCCTTGTTTCCCTTGTTTCACTTGAACAACCCATTATACCTCTACAAGCGATAGAACACGCACAACTCGTACAATGTGAACCTCCTCGTATTCCTTGGTTTGCCAATATTAAGCTTAACAGAAAGTTTGTAAAAATAACGCATAGGCTACGGTCGGGACACGTTCCACTCAACAAGTTTCGGCACTTAATGGGGAAAGTGACAGTCCCAACTGTGCACAATGTGATGTGATGGAGGATGTCCATCACTTGTTGGTGGAATGCGTCAGGACCCGAGCTGGTAGAGAGGTGCTGATGAATACCTTTGAAATTAATTTGATAGATGTTGGTTTTGTTCAAGGTATATTATCAGAGCCTGTTTCGAACGCAGCTATTTTACTTTACAAAATAGTATATAAAGTTTTTAAGTCGGAATAGCGTTTAATTAAATCCTGTATTAGTTTATGATGGGACTGGCGTGGTCGTATTGTGTCCAAAAGCCCCTAAATCCATAGTAGATAATAATAAAACAAAAAGTATGAACTCCAGTTGAACTGTTATCTTCTACGGTGAATCTTAAGATTTACGATACATTGATATCAACTATAAGTTCGGGCTTCCATTGGAACATATTATATTTCTGCAAATAAAGAATTCTCTCACACGTTTTACCTTCTTCTAGTGTGGTGAACATTAAGGGCTCTGAGTGCGGCGACTGCCCCACGTGGTTGGCTGAAGTCAGTCGCAGAGAGTACGCGCCGGCTGGCCGCAGCCCGTCGAGCGTTGCTGATAATATGTCTTCACTGTCTATCCTACATTAATATGCCAAATATAATTTCATAAATATCATACCGTGAGATAATCGTCATTCGAATACCGTAATGTAATACTTGATTTGTATGAAATGCATGATGTGAACAATTTCGTGCAGTGTAGGTACCGGTGGTCGATGTGCACCGTGAGGTTGGTGGCGGTGGCAGCGGCCGGGGACCGCAGCGGTGCATACAGCGCCGTGTACACGGGGGCGGGGGGCGCGGGGGGCGCGGGGGGCGCGGCCCACACCAGGCGCACCCAGCGCGCGCCCAGCCCGCCCAGCCTTAGCTGCCGCGGCGCCGCTGGTGGCTCTGTGCTCGCGTATAATGTACGATACAGATACAGTACAGATATCATGACGACGACAAGAGTCATGCGGAGCGAAATATTACGTCGTTGATGAATTAGTGCTACCGTGCTACTAACATTAGCGCAGGGGGTTTCATCATCGCTATGGATCTATTTTTGCCATGAAAACATAATTGTAGAGTGCGGACCTTCGACATGTAAGTACATGAGCAGCTCGCTGCGACCGAACTGGTTGTGCGCGTGGCAGCGGTACTCGCCGGCGTCGGCGCGCTCCGCCGCGCGCAGCTGCAGCGTCGAGCGCAGCCCGCCCGCCGTGCGCGCCTCCGACACCGCCCACCTGCACACGCGCACGTCACTACCTGCGCGCCGGCGCCGGGCCGGCGGCTCGCGGGGGTCACCTGTAGGAGGACAGGTCCAGCGGGGCACTGCCGTGCGTCCAGTGCAGGTGGAGCGGCGCGTCGCCCCGCGCCTGGCACACTAGCGCCGCCCCGCGGCCACGCACACTCGTCACGTTGCCGCCCGAGCCCTCGAACTGCGCCGGTTCTGTAGTCAATACAACAACTAAGACAAATGACAACTAAGTACACTACAGTATAGGGTGTCTTGTGTGTAAGATGCTTTTAAACACGTGGTTGTACTCATGATTACAAACGACTCTCCCAAAGTAACTTTATTTGTATAGTCATTCGTATTATTTTACCACAATAACAAAGTTCAAATTTCGCGCTTTCGTATGATTAGCTGTTAGCAGCGAGCGACACGCCGGCGCCCGTGTTATCGGTGACGGAGGCCTGCGAGCATGGGCCCCTCTTCACCCGTACCGCGCTCGCGCCCGCGCAGTAGTGATGTAAAATAAAAACGGTCACCCCGAAAAACACGGTCCGCGTTGTTTCCAGCACGACGGCGCGCCAGCGCACTTTGAGCGCCGAGTACGCAAGCGCTTAAGTGTAATTTATGGAGAAAAATGGATTTGTCGAGGGCCCCCCCTCTTCTGGTTTTGGGGAGGTTCTGATTTAGACTTCAATATCTTTAACAGACTGCTAGTCCAAAACCTAGATAAGTGTGATAGGAAACTTGGATAACTTGAATCATGTACAGTGTCGAGTAGGCATTGAGTCAGTTAATGTAGTCGTATCTTGAACATCCATCCTATAAGTAACAAAATAAATCTCTCTGATACATATTCGAATATTGTATGAACATATATGTGAGAACAGTGTAAAGACAGACTAGTCCAACAATATAATATTAAAAATTTTGTCGCCCTATATGTGTACGGTTTAAGACATTCTAGTGTTTAAGCTTGAAACAAATCAGAAATGGCTAACCATGTACGGTGATGTTGACGTTCTTGAGCAGTGGCGGGCCTACTCCGTTGTCAGCGAGGCAGCGGTACAGCCCCCGCAGCGCGCGCGCGGCCGCGGGCGCGGACAGCGAGCCGTTGCGCGCGCGCAGCCCACCCGGCGCGCCCCACTCCGCCGCGCTCACTTGCTCCCATTGCTCGCCGCTGTCGCCACTGTCACCACCCGAAGGACTCGCCTCACCTACAAACATCTCATGGTAAGACGGGCATCGACATCGATAAATTAAAGTGTAAACTGAATATCGGGTCACTAACCGATGTGTCTGTACCACGTGATTAAAGGAACAGGGTAACCTTTCGCAGCGCATGGTAGCAACAGAGGAGCACCGAGTAACACGGCTGTGTCCGAAGGCTCCGTCGTCCACGTCGGAGCAACTGTATGACACATTTTAACAATTATTGGACATTATTGTTTATCTCTTTATAACATAACCTAACATAACATAACATCACGCCTGTTTACCCCTGAAGGAGTAGGCAGAGGTGCACATTACGGCACTTAATGCCACTGTACAATGTAACACCCACTTCTCACTATTTATGTTATGACTCCCATGTAATAGGGGGTGAGCCTATTGCCATATACCGAGCACATTTCCAGACTCCGTGCTACTACTGAGATATTTAAAAACCCAATAATACTTTGCCCGACCCAGAAATCGATCCCGAGACCCCTTGCTCGGCAGTCGCACTTGCGATCACTCGGCCAACGAGGCACGAGAACGACTGGACCGATTTGGCTAATTTTGGTCTTAAAATGTTCGTGGAAGTCCAGGAAAGGATTAAATAAAGGGCGAGAAAAAAAATTAAGCGGTTTGAAGTTCGCCGGGTCAGCTAGTATAAATAGATATAATTCAAGGACTAGCTACTTCCGCATGGCTCACCTTTGACAGTGAGCGTGGCGGTGTAGTTCACGACTGCGGCGTGGTTGGACACCCGGCACGTGTACTCGCCGCTGTGGCGCGCCGTCAGCTCCGAGAACATCAGCAGCGAGAACTCATTCAGGTTCTTCTCTTCTATCTGAACAATCGTGGTGCTATCGTCACTGCCACGTATACACTAACGTCAAATATGACGCCATCGAGGCGCTGAGTACCTGCAGGTTGGATGGCAGTGGAGCGCCGTCCTTTAGCCACGTAAAGTACATGGGTTTATCTCCAGATGACACTCCGCACAGCACCTGCACCGAGCTGCCCTCCGTCAGCTCCGAAGAAAACATGAATGGCGAGATTTTTGGCGGATCTACAAGTAAAATATAACACCTTAGAGTCTTGAACCAAAGTATAATCACCACTAGTGATTGTGTCTTTTGCTCATCTTCTATTGCATGAGCATCACATACTCGTACAGAAGCGGGAGTGTATCTTTTAATTTAAGTGGTAGAGCCATGCCATCGGCACGAATGAGTGCTCACAGCAAAGGGCTTGAAACAACGCTTGTATTGTGTTTTGCCGTGTGAGTGTTGCGATACTGGAAGCCTAAGTCCTGCCATCCCCAATCTTCCCAATCCTCAAATCCTTAACCTGTAAAAGGCCGGTAACGCATTCTTAACACTTCTGATATTGCGGGTGTCCATGGGCGGCGCCGATTGCTTACCATCAGGTGTTCGGTCTTCCTGGTTGACAGCTTGTCCCATAAATTTGCCAACTTTCTTATGTAAGAAAAAATAAATGTAAGGTAGCTTAAAGTTCGCGGGATCCGGTAGTAACTTCTAATTATAAATAAATGTAAATGGTTTGTTATTGTGCATATTTTAGTGCATATTTTGGCATTTTGATAGTGCATATTATCCGATGTCTTGGTTTGACATTATGTTAGTTATTTAGAAAAGAGTGATAAATAAGAAAGACAAAATTTGAACATCGTGTAATGTACTGACTGCGGACTTGTATGTCTACGTCGCGCCGCGCCGCAGGACCAGTGGGCGCCGCCACGACGCATGCGTAGTGGCCCGCGTCGGCCGGCAGCGCGGGCGCCAGGCGCAGCTCGGCGCCACGCGCACTGACGCGGCCGGCGCCGCCCAGCGCCACGCTGGCGCCGCGCCGCCACCACGATATCGAGCTGCACATTGCAAGCTTGACGTCACTACCCACCGTCTGGTGACTGAGTTCACTTCTCTAACAATATTATAATTTTAATCTCTATAATTTTAATATTGTGACATATATATATTGCATACATATTGGGTGCATATGAAATTGACTGAATAGTATTGAGTTTGGCTTTGTAATTCGTACAGGTTGTAATGTTTTGACACTAAAAATATTAAGGTTTTATTGAATTGGCTTGAAATTGACATTGAGATTAGGTTCAAGAGTAAGCCTGCTTATAGTACACATTGACGTTATAGTATGCGGATATTCCATAATCCATAATAAGCTATAGGTAAGAATATCCATACCTCACGAATACCAGAATGGTGTATTTCCATGCTCGCAACATGCCAGATAGATGATTCTCGCATATTGCGAGCATCCACAAACTCAAACTTAAACCCAAAAGCATTTAAATTGATTAAACGGTAATTTGGTACTTTTGAAACATCAACTGTTATAAAAAAATTATAGCCTGTCAGTCGGTCCGTCAGTCGCACAAAATGTAGATTCGAGTGGAAGAGAACTAGAAAGAAACTCCATTCGTTGCTCTTTTAAAAAAGTCTGTTTTACAATGTCTCTGATACATATTCCAATATTGTACATATGTGAAAACTAAAGACACGCTTGACGCATATACAAATTACAGAACTTAATAAATAAAAAACAAATTTTTAAACAAAGAGAAAATAAATATCTGCTATCTAACATAGTGCTCACATAATATGTATACGATCCATGTAAAATAGTGCTTCTATATAAGAAAAAAATCCTTGTTCCAATAAAGAAAGATATGCTCGATGCCACAAGAAAATTAGGTTGCCTTCATCGTAATCAAAGTATTAAATTACATATTATTGGAATCTGAACTAGGTACTGACTACATTTGAGTATTGTCCAGTGGAGCCGAACCAACATGCTGCCAAGCATTTTTATCTTCAAGATAATCTGTCAGCTTGTAGTAAGCTTGTTTACACAATTCGCGCTTTAATACGTTTTAAATTTGCTTTCATTAAGATCTAGTATGCTACTTGGTATTTTATTATAACATTTAACGCATAACCCCATGAAGGATTTCTGTTCTCTGGACAGTCTGAATTGCGATACAGCTAACTTATTTTTGAACCACCTCAGAGATATAGGTAAGTAGGTGACGACAACAACTACCTACCCGTGAGCTCACCAACTATAAACCGAAATCCGGAATAAAATCTTGTGGTGAAACCAGATGTAATTATTTATACTCAATTATAATTTAGAATATTAACCGACGAGTATGCATGAAAATATTGATGACTGTTGATGAAGGGAAAGAGGTATATAGGAGTCGTAATAATTGGCGTTCCATAGTCTCTGCCTGCCCATGGGAGACAGGCGTGAAGTTATGTATGTAATACTTACTTATATAACGTAACATCAGGCCTTTTATCCCCGAAGGGTTAGACAGAGGTGCACATTACGACTCTACCACTGTCCAATTGTGCATTGTAACACGCATTTTCAATATTTATATTATGAGTCCCATGTAATAGGAGGTAAGGTGTTGTCATATTCAGAGCTTTTTTTAAACCCAGTAGTACTTTGTCTGACTCGGAAATCGAACCCGAGACCCCTTGCTCGTCAGTCGTACCTACTTCCGACCAATCAGCCAACGAGGCAGTTTTATATTATTTGTACCGCATGTCCTCAAGATGTAACGAACCGTCGTCAGATAACAAATATACAATACACTAATACAAGTCCTTAAATGAAAAAGTAGGTATAATATTAGAGAGGAATCATCCTATCAAAATGCACCTCTATGGACCTGATCGGATATCCGGCGTAGGGGCAGTAGATCGTGGCGTTGGCACCGGCGACTACTCGGACTGGGCCCAGCGCTCGAATTGATGGAGGACCTGCGAATAACAAACACGTCAAGTAAATCTGGCCTCATCCCACATTATCGGATAGTATAGAATGGAAGCGTTGCGCGCGCGAGTACCGTATATGTTGAGCCGCGCGGCGTGCTGCGCGTGGCCGAGCGCGTTGTGCGCGCGGCACGTGTAGCGCCCGCCGTCCGCCGCGCTCGCCGCGCTCACGTTCAGCGTCGACACCACGTCGCCCGACACCGACGTCTCCTCGTGGATGAAGTATCTGCGATTACAACGCACACATATGGTATGCAACACTAAATAACAGTGCTTCATGAATGTGAGTCAGGTGATCCAGTGGGACAATTACACTAGAAAAGTATAAACCCTGACTTCTGAACTTCTGAAAGTTTATGCCTACCAACCTCGAGGTTATTATTTTTATCGTCTTCAAGAGAACTCAAATATAAACCTACCTACTAAAGCATGACAATTCCACCCGAGATACAACACGTACACATAAGTCAACACCTTTGTGAAGTTCCATATTCTTATACAGTCACTTGTCTATTATCTACTCATAATGGATATTTTGCTTTTTCAAAATACTTGTCTTCTAATGTCGCCAGCGAGCGACACATTAGCTAGGTATGGAAATGACAACTATAATATAATTTTGATAAAACTTATTGTTTAGTTTAAAATTCGATCTAGCTTTTTTATTTTACACGCGACTGCGACTGAAGTATCAGTGAAGTGTCCAATGATTAGTACTGAATTAGTAGTTTGTAAGTCGGAATGCGTGCGGGCGACCTGTGGTGGGCGCGGTAGTGGTCGAGCGGCACGTCGTCGAGCAGCCAGTGGAAGCGCGGCGGCGGCGCGCCGGCGGCGGCGCAGCGCAGCGACACCGCGCCGCCCGCGCGCAGCGCCTGCTCGATGAACGTGTACTGGAGCTCCGGCGCCGACTCTACGCATACGTTACATAATTACATTCAATAGTGACACCCGTGTACCTGACATCTAGGTAAGGTTTCCAAAATTATTTTTCAGGTTGTATGCATGTGTCCGAGCTACCGTAGGGCTATCCCTACGGTAGGGTTCCTATTACTTACTTCGTACTATTTGACAATTTGGCGAGTGACAACTCAAATAAATATATTTAGGGGACTGAGTACATTTATTAGAGTAGCGTTGAAGATTTAGAAAAAGTAAAATTAGTAAATTTTTTTTCTAATCATTTAGTTTGAGAACCTAACCTAGACATGTACAAAAATATAGTAGCACTCGGCGATTGGCAGCGCAACTCAAGACCACGTCTTATTGGTTTTTTTTTATTTTTAATCTTTATATTTAGGAACTTTTAATAATATGTTAGTTCCATTGTAATTTGCTGGAAGCAGTTAAGACTTAATTACACAGTAACTAATGATAAACTAATTTAGCCTCTATCGACATTGGTTTGGCAAAGATACTATTAAATACTTCTACATCTAACTTATTAATATTCAGTAAATTGATCAAAATCTTTCTCTCAGAATCATTCCCGACACGCTCCACTAGACGATGGTAGACATCCTCTATTATAACCACCTTTTTCATAAGGAAAGCAAAGACTGGTAGTGGTAGGTATGTGTCCGGAGCGAATTCTGAGAGCAGTTTAAGATATTTCTTTACTTTAAAATTACAAAACCATGGGACTTGAGGAGGCTCATATTGTATAGTTTTATACCAGATACCTTTAAATTTGGATTTTTCACTAAAGTGTTTCCTATGTATTCACCATGACAACGGTTTTTAAATTTGTTAAGTTTTTCCGAATACTTCTTCTTCTTTCTAGTCGTTTTCTTCATTACTGAAGCTCGTGTCTAGTCTGGTGCACGCGTCACTTGATGCACAACCCTCCTCCAAACGCTTGTGGAATTGTCAGGCCGGTTACGTTTTTTACAGCATCCAATCACCGGGTAGGTGAGCGACCACGAGGTCTTTTCCCACGACCAACAACCACAAGTTTCTCCAGATTGTTGGGGTCTACAATGTTGTAGTGCCACAATGTGGCCAAAATAAGTTGGTATCTGCTGCAGGCATACGGTGGACAGCCTCGTAGTAATTCCGATCTCCTTGAGAATAGAGACTTTGGTGTGACGAGTGGTACAAGGAATACGGAGCATACGTCTCCAGCACCACATTTCGAAGGCCTCAATTTTTGCTCTCTCAATTTTTCTTAGGGTCCATGACTCGGCGCCATACAAGAAAATGGAGAAAACCAGCGTACGCACCAGCCTCACTTTGGTTTTGCGACATGTTTCGGTCCTTCCATATCTTGGTGAGTTTTGTCATTGCTGATTTGGACATCTGGATTCTCCTTCTGATCTCCCGGTCGCTGCCAGTGCCACCCCCATTATCGATAAGAGAACCCAGATAAATCAGCCGATTCCACAAACTCCAGGTCTCTGAGTTCATGTGAGCGAGTGTGTGTCCCCATTCTGTCTACGACGAGCTTTTGGTCTTGTGTTTATTTATGATGAGACCAACCAGTTCGCTCTCCTTCTCCACTCTTGCAATCAACTCAGCCATCTCGCTCTCGGACGATGCAAACAAGGTAGTATCATCCGCATACCTTAGATTGCTGATCCTCCTGCCACCAACAGACAATCCACGCTCCCACCTCTCGAGAGCTCGTCTCATTATATATTCCCCATATATATTAAATAGAAAGGGTGACAGCATACAGCCTTGCTGGACTCCCTTCAGAGGCCTAAATGGATGCGACAGGACGTGTTTACTTTCACCACGGTGCTTCCATCCCTGTAAAGATTAGCAATGAGAGCCACAAGGGTTTCGGTACTCCTATTTCCCCCAGGATTTTCCACAGGCATTCCCATCTTACACAGTCATAGGCTTTTGAGTAATTGGGATGTTGAATTCGCGACATTTTTCTATGATTTACCTGATGTTTGTGATCTGTTCTCTAGTGCCTCGTCCCTTTACGAATCCTGCCTGCTTCACTGCAATCTGCCACAGCAGAAATGCCTTAAGACGCTCATTAACTACGTACAGAAGAACCTTACTAACATGAGAAATGAACGCCACGGTTCTGTAGTTTCCGCAGGACTTCGTAGATCCTTTTTATGTAGTGGAATCAGTACGGATTCCCTCCACTCCTTAGGCCAGCAACCAGTCCTCCATATCTGATTGCATAGATTCTGCAGAAAGTTTACTCCAGAATCACCTATTTGCTTCAGGTCTTCAGCAAATATGGCATCAATTCCGGGTGATTATCCCTGCTTTCAACTTCTTTATAGCAAATTCCACTTCAGAATTCAGAATCTCTGGTTCCAGAGGTATGCTGTTGAAGTCGTCCTGGGGGTCCTCGATGCTGCTGGACCTGCATATAAGGTTTCATAGTACGTTCTCTATCTGTTGACCTATGTCGGTTATTAAACGACCATTTGTGTCCAGCCCAGATTCTTGGTTTGAACTCACGCATTATTGATTTTATTTTCATGAACCTGGACTGCATATTTCGAATACCTACACTGGCAAAACATAAATGTCAATATTAGACGTTGCTGCTATCTTAGCCAGTCTATGAACCTCCTCGATTCTACTGCTCATTTAAAAATAACTTATTTGACCTTGATATAAGATCATCATCATCATCATCAACAGCCGGAAGACGTCCACTGCTGGACAAAGGCCTCCCCCTTAGCCCTCCACGTCGAACGACAACTCGCCACCCGCATCCATTGGCTCCCCGCAACTCTGGCGATGTCGTCGGTCCACCTAGCGGGAGGCCTGCCCACGCTTCGTCTTCCGGTCCGTGGTCTCCACTCAAAGATTTTCCTGGCCCATCTGCCGTCAGTCCTTCGAGCGACGTGGCCTGCCCATTGCCACTTCAGTCTGCAGATTTTGCGAGCTATGTCGGTAACTCTTGTTCTTTGGCGAATCTCCATATTTCGGACTTTGTCGCGCAAAGAAAACCCCGAGCATAGCTCTCTCCATCGCACGCTGAGCGACTTTGAGCTTCTCCAGAAGGCCAGAGGTCAGGGACCACGTCTCGGTACCATACGTCATCACCGGCAACACACACTGAACATCCTGGTCTTTAGGCACTGAGGGATTTTCGAAGTTTTCGATTTGAGAAGATTTCGCGTAACTTCCCGAACGCTGCCCATCCAAGTTGGATTCTTCGGGCGACCTCTTTGTCGAAATTGGACCTACCTAGCTGTATAATCTGCCCTAAGTATGTATAGTGGTCTACAACTTCGAGGATATCGTTCCCAACGATGACCGGTACAGGTGCACCATGGACGTTTGACATGATTTTGGTCTTGTCCATGTTCATTTTAAGACCCACCTGTTGGGAGACGATATCGAGGTCGCTGAGCATGGTGTTTAAATCGTCCAGCGACTCCGCCATGATGACTACATCATCAGCGAAGCGGAGGTGTGTGATGTATTCGCCATTGATATTGATGCCCAGTCCACTCCAGTTTAAAAGCTTGAAAACGTCCTCCAATGCGTTGGTGAACAGTTTCGGAGAAATCACGTCTCCCTGTCTCACGCCTTTCTGCAATTGGATTGGTTCCGTGCTATCTTCCTGGAGTCGGATGCGCATGGTGGCGTTTCTATACAAACACTTTAGCACCTCGATATATCTGTAGTCGATATGGCATCGCTGGAGAGACTGCAGCACCGCCCAGGTCTCGATCGAATCAAAGGCTTTTTCATAGTCCACAAACACCAAGCATAGTGGCAAGTTATACTCCTCAGTCTTCTGTATAACTTGCCGCAGCGTATGAATGTGGTCTATGGTGCTAAAGCCTTTCCGGAACCCGGCTTGTTCGGAGGCTGGAAGTCATCAAACCTGCGTTCGAGACGGTTCGTGATGACCTTAGAAAACAGTTTATATACATGGCTATATAAGATAAGCCATAGTAAAATAAATTGAATAAAAATGCCAATATCTAAATGACTGACCTCCAAGGCGCAGCTCGGCCGCAGCTTGCGCGGAGAGTGAGGCGCGACGCGCCACGCACTGGTACACGCCGTGGTGCGCGCGCGCCACCCCGCGCAGCACTAGCTCGGCGCCCCCGGCCGTGCCCCCGCTGAGCGGAGCCCCGTTGTGCAGCCACGCGAGCGAGGCGCGCGGGTCGGACGCGCTGCAGTTGAAGCGCGCCGTGCTGCCCGCGTCTGCCACCTGTGCGTGTGTGCGTGCACTCATATAACATAAAGCCAAGGGTACACTAGTGGATAAATGTCCTGTGACACGTGTCGCCAGCGACGTCGGGTGAAGTAGCGCGACGTTGTTGGACTTTGTATAGGGAGGCCGGCCGGCCTCGCTCGACATGTCGCCGATACATGTCTTGGGACATTTGTCCCCTAGTGTATCCTTAGCTTTACGTGTCGGTCAACTGTCGCGTTCGTATTCTGGTTCGTTTATATGATTTTAGCTTCGTATGTGCAACGTTGTATTTGATAGCTATAAGAGTAGAAATCATTAAACTGCTGTTAGCATTAAGTCTTCCTTATGCAATTGTATAAAACTAAATAAATAATAAATAAATAAACTATAAATAATTACAATAGATCTATTCTAAAACTATTTATAATATACATTTATTAAACATAACATAACATTACCTATTATTATTAAACTTAAAACAATTTACTATTTATTAATTGAAAATAATCTGTTATATAATTAAATTCGTTGTTTACGCAACGGTCCTCCTTTCTGTTGCGCCTACGCATTTCCGAACACCAGCGCTGTCGCGTTATAATACTGCGCAAAATCTTTACTAATATTATAAATAGTGAGTTTGTTTGTTTGTTCCGCTTTCACACTGTAAACTGTGACTACTAAACCGATTGCTTTGAATTTTTGCAGACGTAAAGTTAGAAGTTTGGATAAAATAATAGGATACTTTTTATACCGGAAAAATTGATATTCCCGAGGGAAAACAAAAGTATTAGTACAGATGGCGCTGTGTGTATTGGTATATGTCACATAGGCTACTTTTTATCCTTTTGTGATGCGAGCGAAGCCGCGGGTAAAAGCAAGTAAGTATTCCATAAAGGGTAAAGCCATACTGGCTTTTTTTTTAAGGGGAGAAAATCATCGAATGACTGCTCCCGCCTGGGTGAGGCGGAAGGGAGTGTCAGACTCTTACTGACTAAAAACCACCCCGTTCCTTCTCCTGCACGTCGAGCCGGAGCCCCGGTTACCCGTTAGCTTCTCCGCGACAAACCCATACTGGCTACGACGCCGCCGCAAACCGTTGCTTACTGTCTCTGAACGTAAGCTGTTGCTAGGTTCTTGAATTTTATTATATTATGATATTACCTACACCAAGTTTAACAAGTCGTTACCTTTGAATACGTTTAAATTCTGCTAAGTGCATTTAAAGTCAGTGTCGACTCCAGATCGGGTGAGTGTTGCAGAATGTTGCTTAAGACTTTGACTGCCAATAAATAATTGTTGAAGGTAAATCCTCCGTTAACGCCGGTCACCGGTGACCCCCATGGCGTTCAACGTGTTAATATGTGTACCGAGGAATTGTTACACGTAATGTGTTGTAGAATGACTTGCTTTAACAGTGCGCTTATACTTTTATCTTACTACCTGCTACGATCGCGCTGTTGTGCTGTTTGTGGTGTATTAGAGTTGTTTAATCATCTTAACGGTTTTAGAAACATATTAATTGGTAATTTACCTCATAGGACATGTTCACTTTGACCGTGTCTTGAAGGCAACTCTTAACAAATATTTTCCTACCTCCTCTTTTCTTAGCAATTCTTATTGTGCCTACCTCTTTATTAATTGTATTAACTTCACTAAATAAACTAAAAAAGTCGGTGTTACATTGTACAGTGGTATAATGTGCACCTCTGCCTACCCCTTCGGTGATAAAAGTCGTGATGTTATATAACTTCACTAAATCAAGTACTTTTCGACTAATTTAATGGGTAAACTTTTTCACTTCATTGGGATAGCATTTGTTAGCTAAATTATAAGCTGTCACGCTGCCTAGCCTTCAAGATCTTTTAAAAACATAAAAACAATGCCTTTAGATGTGCTCTTCTCCCGAGTGACGTCAGATCCGACTAAGAGACTACATAATTATGTCATCTAACAAAGACTCTATAATAGACCTAAACGCAATTTCCACGTCGCCTGCGAAGTTTGTATATAATATGGTAAACCCTCTGATAAAGAGAAAATCGATAGTCTGACCGTGGTCTCAACTCGTAGTTCAGGGATAACTTTTCCAGCAGGATATTTTTTTAGGAGACATCTCTGCAGATGTCTCTAAAAATGTAATTTATTTAAAAGCATAATTAATGTAATGTAATTTACAAGCACAGTGGGCGCGACGACGACGCTGAGCGTGTCATCGTGCACGTGCAGCGTGGTGTGCGCGGTGGCGTCCCCGAACACGTTGTACGCCTTGCAGATCCAGAGGCCGGCCGAGGCGAGCGCGGCGCGCCGCACGCACTGCGCCGCGCCGCCCGCCCACGCCCAGCTCTCCGCCGCCGCCAGTACGGGCTGCAGCCGGCCCTCCCGCTCCCGGTACCACCTGCGTACATCACAATCATTATATTATAGTCTATGAGTATACTTATGTCACAATTTTAGTGTAAGTAAATGAATGTATTATAACTTTCGTGAGACATACTTAATTAATTATTATGTTTTTCAGCTAACTCACGTAATTATTAGACGCGGAACTTGACTAGTTTCAAGCCATACTAGAGGCTCATATTCATGAGAAGACCTGTGACGCGCCGATTGTCGCACGGCTTCTTATTAGAAAGAAAGAAAGAAAGCCGAAAAACATAATAATTCAACAGTGTTTCTGGGATTGGTTGAGCATTACGTCGAGAAAAAGTAGGAAATTACGTGTATTGCGGTGGAGGATGATCAGACGCGACGCAAGGCAGACATACAGGGTGGCCGGCCTGCACGTTGAGCTCGCCGCCCGCCGCCACCAGCCGCGGCGCGGAGCTGGCGCCGCCCGCTGTACACACAGTGACGTCGGTGAGGGAGCCGGCGGGGCGCAGCAGGGGCGCGGGGACTTGCAGTACGCACTCACCGGTGACGGACAGCAGCGCGGGGCGCGCGCGTCGCGTGGCGCCGGTCACGTCGTGTCGCGCGAGGCAGCTGTACGCGCCGGCGTCGCTGACGCTCACGTCTCGGATCAGCAGTGTGTTGCCCGCCACTAGGTATCGCGAGCCTGCCATTGTAACCATATCACATAAAGGTTTGTCCTTGGGAGTATAGGTTCAGTAGTTAAGTGAAGGCTGAGGCGGCGGTACAGTTTCATAATGTTACTGCTACTGTACGATATAAATAATATCCAAACGGTATCTTCATTAGTCATCATGTGTGGGAGAGCCATGCTTCGGCACGAATGTTCCGGCTCGATCGGAGTGATACCACGGCCTCACAGAAAACCGACGTGAAGCAACGCTTGCGTTGTGTTTCGTTGTGTGAGTGAGGGTACCGGAGGCCCAATTACCCCAATCTCCCCAATTCCTTAATCCCCAACGATCCCCAACAATCCTCAAACTCCTAATCCCCAAAAGCCCGGTAAAGCACTTGTAACGCCTCTGGTGTTCCAGGTGTCCGGTGGGCGACGCCGATTGCTTACCATCAGGTGATCCGTCTGCTCGTCTACCGGCTCACGCCATAATAAAACATTGTCAGTTATAATTTTTTTTTATAATTATATTAAATGTTGTGGATTATTTGAAAGAAGCAAACTAATTTCTTGTTATTAGGTAGTACTTAAGAAACGTTAAGTTGCATAGTACCTGGGGAGGGCGGGTCAAGGTGCAGCACGGTGTCGCCGCGGTACCAGAGCGCGGCGCGCACGTGCTCGGGGTCCCGCGCCCCCGCGGCGCCGCACGTCACGGCCGCCACGCCACCTGCTGCCGCCGCGCCTGCACTCGCCACCGCCTCCCAACTCTCATCTGGAACTGCAGTCAACGTTGTCACCAGCTGCCATTCATTCACCAACCATTCTCTGGCAACGCAAGACAGTACAGCGCAGTACCTGGACGAGTGTGACGTCACGTGACACCGCCACGCCGTGCACGTTGGCGGCGCGGCACCGCACCGTACTCGATGCCACCTCATACGTGCTTGTCGGCAACATCTCCAGCGTTCCATTACTATATATTCTTCTGTGTGTTCAGCAAAGACAACAATTTTAACGGCTAGGTTTTGTATAAAAAACGTTATCATTAAAATACAAAGCATCGCACAGACGAACACCCACCGCAACTAAATAAAAATACAATAAATACACAAAAGTAAATAAATAAATAAAAACTATTGGCACAGTTCGTACAATATTGCCGCGTGGCGCTGATGATTATGTTTCAGTTAAACTAATAAGTGTTGGAGCCGTCAGAAAGGGCAGGGTGTACCTAAGGCCAGGCACGTCGTGTAGGATGGAACCGTCGTCCGCCAGCCAGGCGACGCGCGGCAGTGGGTCCCCGCGCGCGCTACAGTGCAACGCGGTGCCGGCGCGGGCCGCGTACTGTACGCGTGGCGCCGGCTCCTGCACCAGCGCCGGCGTCAGCATCGCCAGCTCTCCGCGCACCACTACCATCACACGACCAGCTATGATTTACTTCATTTACTCGGGAATACAGTTCCATTTCAATTAAGTAACGGCACGGAATCTGGAATTGTATCCTTTCGTTTCTACTTTTTGATGGGATAGAGGGCAAATTAGCATGCTACACAAACTTAAGAGTAAGATAGCAAAACTTTATTTTTGAAACCGTTTGTCCTACAAAAAGTCATTCCGCAGCAAACGGTAGCTATCGACTGCGATAAAAGGCAGCCGGCGACGAACTGGCCGGCCGCCCGCCGGCACTAGCCTGTAGAAGTTGTGCCGTCGCCGCCGGCTCACTGAGTGCTCCTCAAATATATGTATATATTATTCGTAACTTGTGTCAGTTCGCCATTTCTACTTTAAACAAAGTTTTGTTTTTGTCACTATCATGAGCGAAGCTAAGCGTTGTGTTTTCGTCTTTACATTTATGTGGGACAATAAACCAGTATTATTGTACACTCTTCTTCATCTCATCATCTCATAGAAACACGGTGTTACGGTAAGCAACCGATGTTGCTCATGTTCGTACTCGCAAAACCAGAAGAGTTACAATTGCTGGGGTGGGTACTCACCATCTACAACACAGTACAGCACCACCATCGCTGGCAGCAACATCACGCCCCCCGCCGCCCCCCACAGCGACGCTCTGCTTATTCCGCCCGATACTACTTCACGTCTGCTTAACACATACACGAATATTTTTGTGAGTAAAGAAATGGTCGCACAACGAACTTGCAAAGTCAAAAAGCATTTACTTCAACCCTATAGAATAGTCTGTCAGTCTGTGCGTCAATCCAGGTGCTGTGCAGCGTGACAAGTATATTTTGGTTGCTTGGGCTCTAGTCTCGTGGTCAGCTGAATTGTTATTAGACGGTTTCATCTTGCTAGTCCCGTTGTTTTGTTAGAGACAAACAAGACCGGCAAACTTTCATAGTAGGTAAAGAAGATCGCCAAATACTGGCCTCGACGGACAAAAATGAAATAGTTACTGTGTGTTTCAAGGATTAATATTAGTATTCAGTCCTGAGTAATTAGTTTCTTGATGTAATTCTGGATATATGCCAATTATTTCAGTTGCTGTAAGTTTTACTATAACTACAGTATTTTACACTAATCTATTAAACTATTACACTGTAGTATTGTATTATTGCTCCATAAATTAAATATCGGATTGTTTTTGCTTCCAGCTTGTCCCACGACAGGCCTCCTTCAAAGGTTTCCATGACTCTCTATCTCTAGTTATGAGGGTCCATTCTGACCCTGCGACTTGTCTAGTTGATACTAGCGCAAACGTTGGGTACCATTCTGTTATTGGTTTGTTCCACTTTTCCTTGGTGTACGGTGCAACCGCACATCGTATAGCATCGACAGCATTTGCGCTCCACATTCATTTCATTTTACAATAATAGTTAGTTCGCGTCGAGCCATCAAGTCGGGCGTTCTCTTTACGGCCAGCAAAGGCCACGTGTCAATCAGATCACACACATCAGTTCATTACCTCATTTACCTTTAATTTTGGAACAATACAATAGTTTAGATACATTTAACGTCCTTTATTCTATTCTACCCAACATCATCTGAAAGTAGTGTGCGATCAAGCAAGAGATCGTTCACTAAGTTTCCCACAACATATTCGTCCTGTCCATCGCCACTTTAGTGTTTTACACACTCTAAGTGCAGTTTGTCAATAAATTATCCTTTTTTATTACATTTGTTCCCGCTTTTATGAGTGTTAGTGATTTTAATATGAGTTGAGATTTACAGAATATTGAATTTATTTTCCTTAGCTGCATCAGGTAAGGATCAGACATTTTAAAGATTGATATCTTTTATTAATGATTTTCAGTTCTCTCCCTATACGGTCAGTATGTAATGGCATCCGTTAATATAATCCAGTTGACAAAATAAAAAAAAGAACGATGTGTCTATTGGCTATTACTAAACTTGTTGTATCATCATTTCAGTTGAAGTTGACTTCGTTTTATTAAACATTGCGCCACTCTAGGATTGTTTCTGTGTCGTGGGTGTATTTACAAACATACACATGACACCTAGACCCAAAATAACAATTTGTGGATCACACAAAGAGTTGCTACGTGTGGAAATCGAACCCGCTACACGTCTCGCGGTACCTAGTTGCCCAGCCACCGTGCCCACGGTGCTGTCCATTTTTCCACACTCACTTTCCCACTTCTCCCAGTTACGTCACTACTCCCAGTCTGATCGATTTTATCTTAACTATATTCCTTTAAATATTAGTATTCTATCTACACTACAGGTGTAACACCTACCATCCCACTTCTAAAACCTGCAAAAGCTAAATAATAATTAGGTAATATCACCACCAATAATATGATAACCATGGCCAGGGACAATAATAATTCCATCAGCAGTAAACTGCTTGCTAATGGCATTTTTAATTAGAAAATAATTATTTTATAAACGACGTTTAATAAAACCGACTTCAAACACTTCTTATATTCTCGAATAAGAATGAGTTAGATACATGTAAAAATGAAAACAATACTCGATCCCTGGCTGATTGAAAACAAAAGTAACTGAATTAAAGTAAACTGAAAATGAATGAATGAAGGAAAACCGTTATCAACTTAGTTAGATTATTTTTTCATTGGTGGAATTCTGCCAAAATTGTTGCAGTATGTTTACGTATTGTGATTTGACGTGAATGAACTAACGATACTTCACACAACAGCCGGTAATTTCGACAATGAAGTTGCCTGACCGAACACAAGTGATCTTCATGTGTGTGTGTGAGTCATGCATGTATTATTTTGTGTACATTTTTTGTTCCTGTTTCTCATCTCTACGAACTTATTCTAATGGCATCGTCCAATATGCTTTAACTTGTGATTTAAAATATAATTTAAACCCAGCTTGCTACTGGCTAATATTTAATAAAGATTTAATTATTGAAACTCGTTTGAAAGGTTAAACTGTATTAAATGCAGGCATGTAGCGGCACGTAGCGCTACGCCGTAGCGATGTACGTACGCGTAGCACTTCATCTCGTCTGACGGTAGTAGTTAGTAAAATATAATATAAAGAAGATAAAAATAAAGAAATATATGTACGACGTAAAGATTACATAATATTTATAAAGTCTCACAAAGTCTGCGGTGCAAATGCACCGCAGACTGAGATGAATGAGTCACGAACTGTAGGTAACAAGGGACCTTCATTAACCGATGATGATGATATTGGAACATTTATTTACTCATATTATGATTTATTTCCACTATAAGCTGAGCATTATTATTCAAAGAAAAAGTGCTTGGAATTCAGTATGTCAATTCAATTTCATCTAATTTTAAGTTTTTAAGTTTCCTAAAGCACTTACATTAAAGTAATGTTCAGCGCCATGGGACGTTGGCGGAGTGTTAGCTTTCAGCAGTTTTCTCATCATCATCATTAACAGCCTACAGATACATGTCACTGCTGACCCACATGAACGATTAAGAATTAACCACCTCGCTTGCTGAATGCCGATTGGCAATTTCAAATAATATTCTCCTCATAATATTCAGGATTCCACATAATATTCTCCTTCACCGTGTCACTGATTTCTAAATAATATTAGAACAGTTTTATACTGGGAAAAACTTAATAACCTTTTTTTTCAAAAACGTTTTAGAGTAACTACAGTTATACCATGATATACATACATGTCGTGTGTTATATTTCATTAATATCGGTTATATCATTTCATATTGTACACCGTGGTGTGTAAATGCTACATTTTTACTTTTACATTTTAGAACATACCCTAGACTTCTCAATAAATGTATAATTATATTATATACACAGGTTTAAAGGTAAGTTCCGTGTTTATGATGAGTAGATGGAAGTGAAATATCGCGTCTGTTTGTTTGTAAGTATGAGCGCGATAAACTCAAAACGTATCGGAGGGATGATGATGATGATGAGCGATTATCAAAAGAAAAGATAGCATTAAAATATAAGAATTAGTTAGAGCAACAATACACTGTTCGAGCATTTTGATTATAATTCGACCTATGTTTACAAATTAATGACATTGATTTCATTTAACTATGACTAGGTTAAAGATGTTAAAAACTTACTTATTAGACTGGATCTAATCCAACAATAGTCTACGACATAGTGCACTCAAGTACCTGACACAACACACTGCAAGCTCAACACAACTGTTTGTTTACGAAGTAGAAGTAGTCGCGCGCGATGTTGCACGAGTAGCAGCGAGCGACGCGCGACACGACGCGGCGCCGTCGGAGCACGAGCGCGAGTGCCGGCGGCCGGCGGCGGGCGGCCGGCGCGGCGCGGCGCTGTCCGGCGCGCGTCACTACTGTCTTGCATTTTACTTGTTTATTTATTACAACTCATTAAATTACGACATTGCTTATTTTCATCGTTTTATCTTATTTATGTCGAGTGACATCGAGAAACGTCCATTTATAAAAAAAAACGTCCATTAAAATGAGATGATACAGCTGACAAGTGCTGTAAACTTTAACTTTAAACTCCTTTAAAAACATGTTTATATAGAGGTACATACATTTAAATAGATGGCGCGCTAGCGACGGCCGCCGGCTGTCGGCAACCACTTCAAGTATTCTCTCATTTAGCTGCAGCACTAACTAACTTAAAAAATGTAAAACGTTATCAAAATGAGAAGGGAGACGCAGGCGACTGCTCGTCGTGGGGGGTGGGGGGGGGAGGGGCATGGGAGAGACGTTTCACGCGGAGACGTCGTCTCTCGAGCGTGAAGATACCTTGATGAAAAGAAAATGAGACTGAAATGATACAGCGCAGCCACTGCACTGACGTCACTCCCACACTAACCATTCTTTTCAAAGTTTTTACTTCTTTACAGTAATGCTTTCTATGGTTTATTTTATAATTTTAACGAGGAGCCGCCGCGCCACGCGCCGGGCAGCCTTACTGCGCGAGAGAAGAGGGGGTTTGTATTATCTGCTGAGGACTTTCATCTAATTCATGAATATTATGAAGTAAAATTGTTGTATAAAAATATTTAGAACCATGTTAGGTTAGATAATGTAACATATCCAATTTAGTTTAGTGTGTTGTGTAAACTTGATAGTTTTTAAAATGGAATCTGTTTTGATTCCATATACGATGCCCAGTAATAGGTTTCCGAGTAATTGACACTAGTACATACATGTTAAAGGAGGCATTTTGTACAGTTGTACGTTGTAGGGGTAATCATTATCTGTATTCACCGTTCCATGAACCGAGCCGACCTGAGCTTCATTAGAGGTTTCTTCCTTCTAAACACTACGCGGGTGAAGTACAAAAGTCTTTTTAACATAAAACTGTATTGAATTTGAAAACCAGTTGGTACGTACGTACTGTATGGTTTCAATATGTCGTAACTTATCTTGGCCTCGAAGAAAATCAGTAAACGAATGCATTGTTAGGTATGTATGTATGTATATGTATGTATGTATATGTATGTATGTGTGTGTGTGTGTGTCGTGTATCCTTTTATTGCGGTGTATCAACTAAGTACTTCTTTACTAAATTGTACTTTGTCTGTAATACTTTACCATTTTATTTGAGCTCACGCGGCGACAACACCGCACAATACTGGTAGAAGTTCATTTGTTGGCAACACAATGGGAAAGTAATCAACATGAAGATGAGCGCCGTGTCCGCGCAGTATCTGCAACCAGACCATTCCTTCACTTACATTAATACAACCTGGTACGCGCTGCGCACGCGCGTGGTTCAATCTCTCTAGGCACCACTTCTGTTCACTTGGACTATTATATTATTTGGAGGGTTTCTGAAAAATGTCCTTTATATTTTGTGAATAGCAGTTAGCAGAATAAATTACATTTTACTGCTGTCAATGTTATGTTTAACAGTTCAAAACGTCCCACATTAGACAAGAAGAGTCTGAAAAACGGTTTTTCCAGTTTCTTCGGTGGTACGGTTACTGCCGCGCTAATATACTGGCAATATGCTACTGAACCACTTAATGAATAGAAGAGTTTTGAGTACCTCTTTGAGTACCGTCATTATAGACACAATTAAAGAACAATAGGTTGCGGTCACCGGTGACCGCTCGGTGTCTGACAGTTTAAGAGATCTCTAGCATCGTGGCATACAAGTGACATTAGCACATAATACTGACTGACTGATCTTACATTAACGACATCCTGTGATCTCTTGCCCTTCCTCTGCCCCCGCACACCCCCGCAGACACCCGCGGGAAATGAGAAAACTTGGAGTTTCCAAGGTGTACGTACGACTTACATTTATTTATTGAACGACCTTTAGGTTACTTTGTGTTTCACTCCACAACTGTAAAAACTTTGATGTCTCCAGCGCAACATTTTTGAGAAGTTTATGCAGATACACTGAGACTGGTCTCTGTCGGCTACACACTACACACCGGTCTGTAGCTTGATTAACATTGATGAAAGAGCGCAATATTGAACGCACTTCGGAGACTACAGAAGGCGACTCACAATGTACAAACGTCAGTTCGAACAACCGAAAAGAATGATAAATACAGACACCGCGATGAAAACTATGTAATAGTCATATACTAGTCATGGAACAATGGTTCGCACATTGCACTTTCAAAACATCTGTACTGTAGTGTTACAGTTGTAGTAATGAAATGGTAATCTTCAACTCTTATTTGATGGCATTTTGAAGTGCGATGTAAATTGACAGCGAAGTACAGCAGTTGGTAGTACCGAATGTACACCGCGACCGCGCGTACTTGTGGCCCACCAATGGACGCATCCACTGTTTACTGAGTAATCGGATTAGCTCACAAGTCGAGTAAACATAGACGTGAGGTGGATGCTAGTATAAGATCTTACCGCTTAAGGACCGCCGAACAATAAACGAATTTCGATAATTTCGATATTTCGATATCATAGCGAAATTGTTCCTTAATGTTCCTGGAAGATCGAGGAGACGTTTTCCACCGCTACGTGTTCCATCCTCCTCTACCAATAATATATTTTTTTTGCGTGCAATTAAGGAATTTAATGGCGTGTGCAAGCAACATGATTTTGACTTTTTAATACTAAAGTGTCTACGGTCAGGAGGTGCACGGAGCCTTTCCTTTTTTAAGTAACATAATAGGGAACGCGATTGAACTGATATTATGCGAGGTAATTTGTCTGTGCAGTGTTCAGATATTTTTATTTGTTATTTGTACTTTGTTTCTTTTGATTTTGTTATTGTTTAATATTATAATCTTTATAGTATAAGTTTCTTTTTTATAAATGAAGACTTGTCATTGGCTGTCAGGCTCTCACATAATTTCTTACTTTTTGTTTTGTTAGCTGTTAGTCTTCCAAATATATTCAATAAATAAACAAGTAATATATTACACTTATCAGTAATGTCAACTTTATCACTGTTTTATGCGTCAGTTAATTTGCATAAATTATATCCGATTATTAAGTTTATGAAGATCCCAGAGTCACACAAGTGCTGGCTCACGATAACTTCCATATTGACACGACGAGAGGAGCAACAGCACTTTGTTATTTTTTTTTATTTATCGTTTGAATGAATCCTCGATTAAAACCTTCAGTTCAATCTGTTTCGCAGCATATTGCAAACAATATCAATCGCACTGTCAACAGCTGGAGTTATTCGATGAATAAATTCACGTCAACTATTAGATTTGTGTCTGATAACGAAAAATGAAAAAGTGTCGTGGGAAACATTAGTTGTTGGTACACCGAGGGTTCGTGATTAATATTCATTTGGTATGTTACAACGCAATTTGAGCGGGAGTCGGTAACTGAGAGCGGTCGTGTCATCGTGTGTCGTGTCAAGTCGTGCGGTGTTAGTGATAGCCCAAAGTCCTGGCGTGAGTGTAGCTGCCTGCTATCCGTTGATTATGTTACTGGCATCCAGACTCGGCCCACGTGTCCGACGTACTAGTAGGTGCGACTTGATTTG